GGTTTTCACAGGAGGATCTGTCACCTTTCTTGTAAATCGGTATGATCACTAATTCACACCATTCAGCTGGAACCTCTTTCCTCTCCCACACTGAGCCCAGGAATTTTGTTAACTCCAAAACGAAGACTAGACCTCCATCCTTAAAAGCCGATGGGGACAGCCCGTCGGGGCCGGAAGCCTTACGCCGTTTGAGGTGACTTATTTCCCGATTAACCTCCATTTCAGATAGAGGACTGGTGTCAACTGGCAGTATTTGCAAAGTTGAACCGGGTAGAGGGAGGTCTTGTATCGACGGGGACCAGCTGAACTGTGCCTTAAAATGTTCTGCCCAACGTTCAAGACGGCGTACCTGAGTTTGAATCAGTGTGCCGTCAGACTCCTTAATTACCTCACGCCTACTTTCCTTGGTCCTGTACTCCTAATTAATCGGAAAAGATTGCGACCATTACCAATAGCCGCAGCCTTCGCCATCTCTCTACACTTTCATACCCACCACTTCTGGCGGTCATTCCTTAAACTCTTAATGAGCTGGCGTTTAAGGATTTGAGTGCGCTTTGTCGTATTTTGAATCTAAATGGCTTTGCGAGCGTCCAGCAGGGCAACCGAAGTCAGGGAGATCCATCGTTTTTTTATTTGATTGTGAGTCAAAATTTGCTGTTGTTTCGATTGACATTTTGATCGCTTCCTTGATTGCCGTCCAGAGCTCACTGAGTCCTCCGGCTGATGGTTGTGCCGAGAGACGATCTGATAGTTCTGCTTCTAAGGCCGATTTGCAACCATTGTTGATATTGTATCTTGGGCATCCGTTTTCGGTGGCTTTACTTCGTTTGTTTACGAGGCGTAGAGAGAATTTCGCTCGTAGGAGAGCATGGTCCGTGTCCACGATTGTTGACCAGTAGGCGCGGCAGTCTTCAATAGATCCTCGCCAGCGGTGGCTGATGGCAATGTGGTCGATTTGAGTCCAGCGCTGTGAAGCGGTTGGCAGTCTCCATGTAAGGCGGTGGCGCTTTTTATGCGAAAAGTTCAGGCTTGACAGAAACAGTTTGTGGTCAGCACAAAGTTGGAGTGAACGTTCTCTGTTGTCAGCCCTGTTGGCTGGGATTGCATATGAACCTCCAAGTAGCCTCTCTGATTCGTCCAGGGATCCCACTTGAGCATTGAAATCTCCAGCGACCACCACGATGTCC